AACATGCTTATTTCCATTACAAATGCCACTCCGCTGTGGCCTCTTCTGAAGCAACCAGGCAGTTAGCAGATACAATAAAAGGTCAAAGGCAAATTAAGCTGTACAAAATATTATCTCTTTTGCTTCTTAGGAGCCACGCTTGAATTATTTGTAATGTCTATGCTTCTTTTTCACCATCTTTGATATTGGAGAGAAGCTCAGGAACAGCCACTCTTTTAACCAATTGTGTGTCCCTGGAGATGACTTTCATACCATACTTTTCATGCATCACATATTTGGAAAAGCTCCCAACTGCTTTCCAATGACACAATCTAAGAGAAGTACTTCTCTTATCTGATACAAAGGATGCTTTCATATACTGAACCAGACTGTCAGTTTTATCCAGTACAGTATGTGTTTGTGGGTTTGCTTTCAATGTACCTGTCGATTTGTGATGACCCCACCAATTTCATGGAGTTTTCTTAGGTGGAGCCCCCGGTGATGCAGCAGGTTAAACCACTGAGCTGCTGAAGTTGCTGACCAAAACTTTGGTGGTTCGAATCCAGGGAGCGGAGTGAGCTCCTGCTGTTAGCCCCAGCTTTTGCCAACCTAGCAGTTTAAAACATGCAAATGTAAGTAGATCAATAGGTATCGCTTCTGTGGGTAGGTAGCAGCACTCTATTCAGTCATGCCAGCACATGACCTTGGAGGTGTCTATGGACAACACCAGCTCTTTGGAGATGAGCACTAACCCCGAGAGTAATGCTATCCACATGACCTTGGTGGTGTCTACGGACAATGCCGGCTCTTCGGAGATGAGCACCAACCTCCAGAGTCGGACACGACTAGACTTAATGTCAGGGGAAAACTTTTACCTTTACCTTTCTTGGGTGAGGAATCCTCAGAAGTGTCTGAAAGGGGGGGATATAATAATAATAATAATAATAATAATAATAATAATAATAATAATAATAATAATTGAAGAGAAACAACTGGAAAAGCTGACACAATATGAGGATTTAAAGATCGAATTGCAAAGACTTTGGCACAAACCAGTAAAGGTGATCCCAGTGGTGATCGGCACATTGGGTGCAGTGCCTAAAGACCTTGGCCTGCACTTAAACACAATTGAGCGCTGACAAGATTACCATCTGCCAGCTGCAAAATGGGATCTGCAAGCATTGTTCACCGATACATCACACAGTCCTAGACACTTGGGAAGTACCCGACGTGTGATCCAGTACAACATCCAGCAGAGTGATCCTGTTTGCTGTGGACTCATCTTGTTGTGTTTCAAATAATAATAATAATAATAATAATAATAATAATAATAATAATAATAATAATAATAATAATAATACAAAATCCAGCATATAGATCTCATTTGCTGTGACATACTGTGTTTTTGTGTCAGTAAAATCATCATCATCATCATCATCATCATCATCTTTATTTATACCCTGCCACCATCTCCCCGAAGATAACTCGGGGCAGCTAACATGAGGCCAAGCCCAGAATTACAGTACAACAAAATAAAATAAAAATACAAACAGCAAATAATAACAACAAAATAAAATACATAAAATAACAGAGAATGCAATAAACAGATGCAAAATAACGTGATGAAGAAATAAAATAAGTACATTCACCTTTTCACCAACTTTTAGGCACCCCAGGTGCAGAGGCAAAAGGATAATGAAAAGTGTCCCCAGATCTGAAAATACAGCCAAGTATGGTTAATCCAGACCAGCAGTTGTGAAAACAGATTCATAAGATATTTGCTATTTTAGATTGACTCTCTCACCCCATGAATGGGCTCGCTGCCTGATTCGCTCAACATGGAGCTGGAAGTGGAAGAAACAAACATCAAAGTCCAGCTGCATGCAACCTGAGGAATACTTTGAATTTCTAAATGACACTAAGACTGCTCCTAAAAGTGCCAATATCAACATCCATATTGTTATAAACTGCCATCAGATCAACTTTGACATATGGTGACCTTATAAATAAGAGCTCTCCAAGGGCTCTTCCACACAGCCATATAACTCAGAATATCAAGGCAGAAAATACCACAATATCTGCTTTGAACTGGGTTATCTGAGTCAGTCTATACTGCCATATATTCCAGTTCAAAGCAGATAATGTGGGATTTTATTGTGTGGAAGGGGCCCAAGACAGCCTACTATCAACAGACCTTGTAAGATCTTGCAAACTCAAGGCTTTGGCTTCCTTGGTTGAATCTTACTTGGAAAGTAGTCTTCTTTTCTTACTGTCTGCTACCTTTATAAACATTACGAATTGTGTGTGTGTGTGTGATATGACCAAAATATGGTGGTCTCAGTTCAGCCATCTTCATTTCTAGGGAGAGACCAGACCTGATTTCTTCTAGGACCCATTTACTCCTCTTTTGCATCTCAAAAGAACCGATTTTCTTCCTATCAGTTTTCTACCCTGTCCAGCTTTCACAACCAGACACAGAAATAGGAAATCTGATGACATGGACATCATTAACTTAACTGTTCAATGATCTATCTTTATCCTATCTTCTCTAGTTCCTTCATAGTTGCCCTTCCAAGCCCAAGGGCCTTTCCACACAGCCCTATATTCCAGAATATCAAGGCAGAAAATCCCACAATATCTTTGAACCTGGTTATCTGAGTCCACACTGCCATATATTCCAGTTCAAAGTAGATAATATAGGATTTTTTGCCTTGATATTCTGGGATATAGGGCTGTGTGGAAGGGCCCCTAGTTTCCTTCTCATCATTTCACTGCAGTCTCCATTGTGTTTAATGACTGAACCAAAGAAAAGGAAATCTTAAACTATCTCAATGCCTTCATTGTTTTGTTTTAGAGTGATATAAACCACCTGTGGTCATAATATTTATTTTCTTAATGTTCAGTTCTAAGCCTGTCTTTGCACCTTCTTCTAGTAACCATTCCAAATATTTGCTATTTTCTGCTAATCCAAAATGAAGCCTGAATCTCTGAGCAAATCAAGCTTCCAAGAAGCAAAGTTGACTAACTGAGACTGTTGCTCTTCAGATGTTATCATTAGAAGGCCAGATTCATTCCAGAAGACAATAATACTTGGCAAGGTAAAAGATGGTGGGGTCAAAGGAAGATTGCTTTACCAGTAAGATTCAATCAAGGAAGCCACAGCCTTGAGAAGATATTACCCAGTAGATAAGATTACAGTGCTTGCTACGGTAGAAGGCAGTAGGAAAAGAGGACAACTGCTTTCCAAGTAAGATTCAATCAAGGAAGCCAAAGCTTTGCAAGACTTTAACACAGTGATTCTCAACCTTCCTAAGGCCGCGATCCCTTAATACAGTTCCTCATGTTGTGTGACCCCCAACCATAAAATTATTTTAGTTGCTACTTCATAACTGTTATGAATTGTAATGTAAATATCCAATATGCAGGATGTATTTTCATTCACTGGACCAAATTTGGCACAAATACCCAATACCCCCAAATTTGAATACTGATGGGGTTGGCAGGGGGATTGATAGTAGTTGCTGGGATTTCTAGTTAACCTACAATCGAAGAGTATTATGAACTCCACCAATGATGGAATTGAACCAAACTTGGCACACAGAACTCCCATGACCAACAGAAAATACATTGAGTTTTGGAGATGTGGTTCACCTACATCCAGGGAGCACTGTGAACTCAAACAATGATGGATCAGGACCAAATTTGGCACAGATACTCAATATATCCAAATGTGAACACTGGTAGAGTTAGACATTTGGGAGTTGTCGTTGCTGGGATTTATAGTTCACCTACAATCAAAAACATCTATTTCTGCTTCATTGACTATTCTAAAGCCTTTGACTGTGTGGATCATAATAAATTGTGGCAAGTTCTTGGTGGGATGGGCATACCAAGCCACCTTGTCTCTCTCCTGAGGAATCTGTACAAGGACCAAGTAGCAACAGTAAGAACTGACTGGTTCAAGATGGGGTTGGAGGAAAGTTCTGAGAGTGCCTTGGACTGCGAGAAGATCCAACCAGTCCATCCTCCAGGAAATAAAGCCCGACTGCTCATGGAGGGAAGGATACTAGAGACAAAGTTGAAGTACTTTGGCCACATCATGAGGAGACAGCAAAGCCTAGAGAAGACAATTATGTTGGGGAAAGTGGAAGGTAAAAGGAAGAGGGGCCGACCAAGGGCAAGATGGATGGATGGCATCCTTGAAGTGACTGGACTGACCTTGAAGGAGCTGGGGGTGGTGACGGCCGACAGGGAGCTCTGGCGTGGGCTGGTCCATGAGGTCACGAAGAGTCGGAGACGACTGAACGAATGAAAAACAACAACAAAACAATCAACCCCAATGAACCCCAATGATAGAATTGGGCCAAAATTTCCCACACAGAATCCTTATGACCAACAGAAAATATTATGGTTTCTGATGGTCTTTGGAGACCCCTCTGACACTCCCTCATGACCCCCCCAGGGGTCCCTATCCCCAGGTTGAGAAACACTGCCTTAGCAGGTCTGTGATAATAGTATGACTTGGAGATGTCTCACTTATAAGGTCATTGTATGTCAAAGTTGACTTGGTGGCATTTAACAACAATGTGGCTGCCGATATTGACAATGTTGGAAGCAGGCATTATGTAGTCCTGAAATTCATTCCAGATAGAAGACAGGACTTAATAGAAAAAGGGAATACTTAATAAAATGGAGGGCATCACAAAAAGAGGAAGACCATATACCAGACGGATAGACTCAATTAAGGAAGCAATAGCCCTGAGTCTGCAAGATCTGAGCAAGGCTATTGAGGTTAGAGTGATTTAAACCTCTTGTTCATGAAATCACCATAAATTGAAGTCAACTTTCCAACAGAAATAAAAGAGAACTGGAGGCACGGTGGTCAAGAAGCTTCACCAAAGTGAACCTAGCAAGAGCCCAAGGCACTGAAAAGTAGAAGACAGTTCTTTGAGTATGTCATAATATCCGACTCCATGTTTAAAGCGCTGGAATCGTTTTTCGCCCTCACAAAATCTCCTTGCTTTGCCATAGAAGGTGGGGTTGCTCTATTACCAGGAGAACGCAACCGCTTCCCACATGACCAGCCCTCACAGCTAATCCCAGTTGATGGTAGGGAGAGGCTGTTCTGGGAGCCAGCCATGTGGTTAAAATTGTATGCTGTGTATCCAACCCCCCTTTTCCACCCTTCGCATTTCTCCTTTTCTTTCCAGACATGCAAAAGTACTCTGTGCAGCCATAGATGTGTCTCTCAGCTCCAGTGCCTCTGCCTTTCCCTCTTTCCAGATGCTGACAGGCTCTGAATCAGCGGACGCCGAGAAGCAGCCTTCCTCCTATCTGCATGGAAACTGGACAAGGGATGAATAACAGACGGGGAGAAAGAGCAAAGTTGGTTATTTTTTTGGCACATGGATGCAATTATGCGGCGCGCATTCCAGAGGCGTTACTTTGAGTCCTGAGCAGGTCTGCTTGCCATTCCTGAGTGGGAAGACATTTAAAAAAAGGAAGAGAAGTCTCTCTCTCTCTCTCAGAGACGGAATGTCTGCGCTTTCCATCCTGTTTCTAGGTAAGTGGAGATATTATATTTCAATGTGCTTTTGCAAAATATTCAACTGAACTTCCAAATGCAACAGCCTGTATTAAAGGTGGAGCTCTTTGACCACAAAGTTATTTAGGAAGGAAAAGCTTGTGTCAAAGTTTCTTGAGCAGGGAGACAATCTGTTTCCAATTTTTTTGCGTTTTTCATATTTACTTAGCAAAACAAAATAGTTAAACCTCTTTCTTTCCTCTGTCATCTTAAAGCATGCAACTGTTCCCCTACATGTATGGCTTTTCTTTGCATACAAGCTCTTCAACAGTTTGATACTTTGGTTGAAAAAAGCGTAAATGTTGGTTACGGGGTGCTTTTCTTTCTTTCTCTCACATACATATATTATGCAGAGGTTTGGAAAGAAGAGAACCTGAGATGAGTTTGTCTTTTGCAAATTTGAACAAAGAATCGTTGCTCCAGGATCGGTGCTCAATCTGCTTCACTTCTGTTGTAGTTTTGTGAATATTTCTGATATTGTGAAAGAGCCTATTGTTTCCAACTGGTATTGTAGAGAGCCATAAATGAGAAACAGATGTGGAGGGAGGAGGTCCAAAAAGAGGGTGATAGAAAAAGGAGGCGAAAGGGATAAGGCACAGCAATGGGGGAGGAATTCAATGGGGGAGAAATAAATGGGAGAGGGAAATATAGAAGGAAACAAACGATGACCCAAACTGAATGGGAGATGGAAATGGAACAAGGGAAAGTGGGATACAAGAAAAGCATCAGTAATTTAACACATTGTATGCTAAAGAGATAGAAAGTCCAATCCACAAAATCAATAGGAACGAATGTTTTCCTGATCAAACTATCCACACGACTTATATGTTTGGAAATGTGTTTGGCTCTATAACCCCAGTGGCGCAGTGGGTTAAACCCCTGTGCCGGCAGGACTGAAGACTGACAGGTCGCAGGTTTGAATCTGGGGAGAGGCGGATGAGCTCCCTCTATCAGCTCCAGCTCCTCATGCGGGGACGTGAGAGAAGCCTCCCACAAGGATGATAAAAACATCAGTTCATCCGGACGTCCCCTGGGCAACGTCCTTGCAGACGGCCAATTCTCTCACACCAGAAGCGAATTGCAGTTTCTCAAGTCACTCCTTTCACAACAGAAAAACAAACAAACAAACCATTAACTAAGATAGAGCACAACCCAGAGGGAAGCACCTTGAAGAACTAGTTATTTCAGTAGGAGGGATTTAAGCATGGGCTTGACATTGTATAACTGAATTTAGCGTGCTATCAAATTTCTTAACTTTGGTTGTATTGTGGCCATTGTTTATGGAGGATGAAAAATATCCAGAGGAACTTGAAAAGGAAAAGTAACATTCGCACGAAAAGATGAAGTTATTGCAACTCCTTTGAAACAGAGAGAACGTTTACAACAAATACCGTTGTTACTTTTTGCAGTTGCTCCAGGACCGGTGGTCAATCTGCTTTTACCAAGGGCAAACGAAGTTAGCAACAGCATGCCATGTGTATACGTATATATATGTTATGTATGTGTATGTATTCTTTACAAAATGGAGGAGGTAAAAATGGAGGAAATTGTTAAGAAAGGCAAACTGGAGCAAAATGAGAAAAGCACTGGTTTTCCTTATCACAGAATGAGCAGCAGTCTCCTTCCCTACCAATCCAAAGACACCCCAGTCTGGAGAGTCACAATTGGATTGACAAATAGATAGGTTTATAAGAAAGGGGAAACCCCCACTAAAGGGTCATATAAAGGCTGCCATGTCTTAATTTCTCAATTCAAAGACAGAAATTCCTCACTGTCTTGGGAGAGTAAAGGAAGAAAAATATCACCCAAGGTATGGAGGAAGGAAGCAGAAGCAGTGATGGGATTTAAGGTGATGTGAGCTTCTGACCAAGTGAAACAGATGATGTATGATCACCTACAGCAGTGTTTCTCAACCTTCCTAATGCCACGACCCCTTCATACAGTTTTTCATGTTGTGGTGACCCCCAACCATAAAATTATTTTCGATGCTACTTCACAACTGTAGTTTTGCTACTGTTATGAATCATTATATAAATATCTGATATGCATGATGTATTTGATACAAATACACGATATGCCCAAATTTGAATACTGGTGGGGTTGGGGAGGGGGCATAATTGATTTTGTCATTTGGGAGTTGTAGTTCCTGGTATTTATAGTTAACCTACAATCAAAGAGCATTCTGACTCCGCCAATGAGGGGATTGAACCAAACTTGGCACACAGAACTCCCATGACCAACAGAAAATACTGGAAGGTTTGGTGGACACTGACCTTGAGTTTTGGAGTTGTAGTTCACCTACATCCAGAGAGCACTGTAGACTCAAGCAATGATGGATCTGGACCAAACTTGGCATAGATACTCAATGTGCCCAAATGTGAACATTAGTGGAGTTTGGGGGGAAATAGACCTTGACATTTGGGAGTTGTAGTTGCGTGGGATTTATAGTCATCTACAATCAAAGAGCATTCTGAATCCCACCAACGATAGAATTGGGTCAAACTTCCCACATGGAACCCTCATGACCAACAGAAAATACTATGTCTTCTAATGGTCTTTGGTCACCTTTCTGACATCTCCACATGCCCCCCACCCAGGGGTCCTGACACCCTGGTTGAGAAACGCTGACCTACAGAGATATCTTGCCTACGTTGTCTAGTTACTAAATTCATGTGCATCTCATGTATACATAGTCTGAAGGTAATTTTATACACCGTATTTTAAATAATGTTGTGCGTTACATACATAGCTTGTGTATGTTGAACTATCAAAATGCATAGGTCTCTCCATTCCAGCCAACCATGTGGACCATTTTGGATATTGGAGATTTTGGAATTCCAGATAAAGGATATTCAACGTGAAGTTGTTTTTAGAAGATTTTGGGTTTTGAAATCCCTGAGAAGGGACGCTCAGGAGGAATAGATATGAAATGTACTTGCTTTCCTACCAATTGTCTCTTTAAGGCTTTCTCTCTTGAGCAGCTCCAACCAAGCTCCTTGTCTTCTCTATTACTAGGCAGACTACACAGTACAGCTTGGGTTGCAAAAAAAGTCTGTTGTGGTGGAAAGTGGAGGAATGTCACCTCGGGCATAACAATGATGACAGGAGGGGGATTTGGGAATCGCTTATATCTCCCAACCTAAATCATGAGGCTGGCATTCAGTATCTGCACTTTTCCAAACATCTGCTTCCATCTAAAGACTGAAAAGACTTATGGAATACAATTTGAAGGGATGGAGATAACGGTGATGAATGAGAGGGATTCCAAAAGGGATAAAACGTCCCCTGGTTGCAGATAAGTAGTACAAGTGGAGTATCCCTTATTCAAAACGATTGGTGGAGATAAGTAGTACAAGTGGAGTATCCCTTATTCAAAACGATTAGGATCAGAAGTGTTTTGGATTTGGGTTTCTTTCGGATTTTGGATTATCTGGTTTTTGTGTGTGTGTGAGAGAGAGAGAAGTGACTTGAGAAACTGCAAGTCACTTCTGGTGTGAGAGAATTGGCTGTCTGCAAGGATGTTTCCCAGGGGACGCCTGGATGTTTGATGTTTTACCATCCTGTGGGAGGCTTCTTTCATGTCCCCACATAAGGAGCTGGAGCTGACAGAGGGAGCTCACCCGCTCTCCCTGAATTCGAACCTCTGACCTGTCAGTCAGCAGTCCTGCCGGCACGCGGGATTAACCCATTGCACAACCGGGGGCTCCAATGCCTGAGTATCCAAATCTGTATGTAATGAGACATTTTGGAGATGAGACCTCAGCCTAGATACAAAATAATGCAAGTTTCAAGTACTCAAGATATGCACAATATCTTTAATAATGTTGTGCATGGAGCAAAGTTTGTATACGCTGAATCATAACTGGACAGTTTTGAATTTCGTGATATATCCAATTTTGGAATCCAGATAACGGATGCTCAACCTGGACAAGCTTCAAGATATGCAACTAAACTGAAACTCTACTAGAGAAATAAACCTGGAAGGAAGGGGCAAACAAGCACAACAATGGCTGAATATATTCAATGATGAAAGGATGCTGACAGCTTGATGCAGGAAAAGGAAAACCTGGTGGAACAGAGAACAGGGCGTACTAAACAGAATAATAGCACACTGCAACTTCTTTCTTTTGTACTTTCCATATATTATGGTTCTTACCATTTATAACATCCAAGAATTAACCTAGATATAAGGGAAGGAATTATAAATGAGTATAGAAATCACACACTTCTAAACTCCTCTGAACAAGTCTCGCCAAAAACACCCTGTGACAGGGTCTCCTTAATGTCACCGTAAGTCGAGACAGGCCAATATTGGTAAGGTACAGATTTCGAAATGCCAAGGCTCAATACTGTGGAAGTTGTAGCTATGGTGAGACACAAACCCTCTTTGGCAGAGAAGACTAAAGATTTTGTAAAACTAAAATTCCCATAACTTCACAGCATTCAGCTATGACAGCTAAAGTATTTTGTTTTTTCATGTCAGGAGCGACTTGAGAAACTGCAAGTCGCTTCTGGTGTGAGGGAATTGGCCGTCTGCAAGGATGTTGCCCAGGAGACGCCAGGAGGTTTTGATGTTTTATCATCCTTGTGAGAGGCTTCTCTCATGTCCCAACATGGGAAGCTGGAGCTGACAGAGGGAGCTCATCCGCACTGTCCCCGGATTCGAACCTCTGACCTGTTGGTCTTCAGTCCTGCCGGCACAAGGGTTTAACCCATTGCACCACCAGGGATCCTAGCTAAAGTGGTGTCAAACTGCATTAATTCTACAGAGCAGATGCAGCCATAGTCTAACCAGAAGGTGACATTCTGGCCAAGTTCTCTCTCCCTAAAAAGGGCACCGAGAGTTGGACAAAGGTGTCCCAATTATAGCAATTAACTCATCTTATAGACTTAGTGCTGGATCCAACAGCCACAAAGTGATCTTTGTGAAGTGATATGAACCAATCTGGGGCCAGAGTGAAACCCAATCCTAGGTTGGC